AAAAAAAAAAAAAAAAAAAAAAACCTCGCTAACTTGCAAAATTAAGATAAGTTTCCACAAAATCAATATTATTACACTAATTAAAACTTCTTTAGCTTGAATAAGAGCCAAATATGGAAACACTGACAAAAAAAAAAATACAAAAATAATACCTCGCATGCCGCAAAAATTGGCAGAACTTGTTCAAATATTTCATCTACGGTTCCTACTGCATTAATCTGCACGCATAAAAGCTTCTATTACAATGGCAGCTACATTCATGATCTTGTAATAAACAAGTGAGAACCAAAGATACATGAAAATGATCTAAACTCGTGATATTGGAAAAATGTATGTGAAATGAAAACAAAAGATAAAAGCCCTGATTAAAGACATGAATCAATGATCTCCTGTAATAAATACGCTCTTAAACAGATACGCGAGGAGTTCTGAAGCCAAAACCACCAACATCACTGACGAAATAGAGAATCTAATTTCAATCCTTGAATATATACCTTAAAAACTTTTCCTTTCTCTGAATAGTAATTGATAACAGGGAGATTTAATTCTTCAAACACTTTTAGGCGCTTTTTTATAGTATCAATGTTGTCATCAACCCTTCCCTGCAATATAAAGCATCATATTTTACTAACTGAACTATAAATGATCTGATTCATCCGAAAACAAAATCGTAAATGGTATGAAAAATCAAAAACTATATAGTAAACAGGAACCTCATTGCGATCTAGCACCCGCTTCACCATCTCTGCTTCAGGACATTCAAAGAAAAGCACCACGTTTGGTTCTGTCCCAACCTGCAATGAAAGAAAATGGTTATATTCAAATCTCCCAATTTGAATTTTCATCTGATCTGTTATATTTTTCCTTTTTGTTTTATATCCCGTTAATTTCACTTCAATGTTCCAAAACCACATAAGAGTTACTGTTGACAGCAAAAATACACATGTATTTCTATACTACTCCAAATATCAAAGATGAAAATTTAAGCTAACCTTTAACAAAATATAGAGAAAGTAGAGAATAAAACTTACAATTTTTTCAAATGCCATGCGGTTCTCCTCACTTCGAGGGAAACCATCAATAAGGAATTTTTTATTGTCACTTGATTCCATCTCTTTCTGAATCAATTTGACTGTGACTTGTGAGGGAACAATTTTTCCTTCTCTGATAGTATTTAGAATCATGGATCTGAAATCATAGTTTTGATATTTAGATAGCTTAAAAAGAAGAAAGATTTTCCTATTAGATGAAATCAATAACAAGAAGGTGCATCTAATAGCTACCCGTATTCACTCTTGGAAGCTATTTCCCTTCTGAGCAGATCTCCGGCACTCAAATGTTTGAATCCAAAGGTCTCAACGATCTTCGCACATTGCGTACCTTTCCCGCTGCCAGGACCACCTAACAGCGCAGGAGAGAATCAGATAATCACGTGAACAGTAGCTACAAAGAGACCCGTCACAAAAGCATCACATTCACATCCATTATTTTTCATAAGCATTTTTCAGGAATCGCTTTCATTCTACATTTCAGATTGTGATCCTACATGCAATCCTCTGAAACCATAGATACTTCTAGAAAGTATAGAACAAACACACTTATAAACAAATCAAGAAAGGAACATTGAAGATTTCTAATAATGAAGTAAAACTCTTACCTAGGACAAAAGTAATGAATGGTTCTGTCTGCAAAACAAGAAGAAGAGAACATCAAGAAGTCATCCCGTAATCTACATCAGTTTCATTCAATCATGACCATAATTTTCCAAACTAAATTAGAGGCAACAATAAGCAAAAAAATAAAATAAAATAAAATGGGTCTCAAGAAACAGTTTCAGATCGATCTCCCCAGAAAATAAACAAATAAAATCGTCATTTAAATTCAGCTGTACGTGGTACCTGTGAGGCTGTCTCTGTGGTAAACGTTTTCCACAGTCTGAACGTACAAGCTTGCTATATTCAGCATAATAAAAGAGATGCAACAAAAAAACACAAAAATGGTTAATCTAGTACACAAGTTCACAATCATAGGAAAAAAGTTTATTGCAATTTGCAAAGCAAAACATGTCTAAACCCGGGTCAGAAGAGAAGATTTCGAGGACGAAGTCAGCCTCAGGGGAGAGAGTGAAGCCACGCGCATCCACATTTTTCTCTTGAAGGTGGCGTTTTTGGTTTTTGGGATTTTCTGTGAGGCAAATCGTCGAGCAGGTAGCGCGCTAAACCAAAACTGGTATCTGGGTGGTTGATACTATTTTAGTTCGTTTAATATTAATTAATAAAATTCAAACATTAATGGGTGTGCGACGCACGTACGGCAGTAACGTATGGAGTTCCGAGTTCAAAACGCCCACAGTTTACACTCACCGCCATGTTTCATGTTTGTCCACGTTTACCAGTTCTACGCGGGTTAGTTAGATGGGACAAAAGCAAATGGGGACGCTATATAGTACGAGGGCCCTGTTTTGGATCTTGCTTGTGGCCCACAAATAGATGCAGCCCACTTTAGGATCTAGTTGGATCTTGATTCTTTAAGCCCATTTTTAGCCACAAATATGGAGGAGGTAAAAGTTACAAGGAGGAAGACATTTTTAAGAGAAAATTAGGTGGCATGCTACACACTACATGTGGTTCCGATTTGTATCACAGTTTATTAGGTGTTAAGATTTCCGCTACTTTGATCTTTTCTCTACCTTGAACAGCCACTAAAATGACTAATTTACCTTTAATTTTAATTTAAGAAAAATTAGCTAAATAACCTATGTTTTACGACAATTTTTCATGGATGGTCAAACTTTTTTTATTTTACAAAAATGGCCGTTTTTTAAAGGAGTCGATACCCACAGTCAATTAGTGATCGCTTATAATTTATTAATAGTTTATCATTAAAAAACTTATAATTTGTTGATTGAAATTGATTAATTTCTAATTGATTTGGGTTAATTATTCATTGATATTGATTAACAATGAAGAATCATCGACTTAATCAGTGATAAACTAAAGTCAATCAGTGATTGACCGCTAAGTCAATTATTGATAAACCGCCACGTCAATTAGTGATTGACCAATAAATTAATAAAAAATGTCATTTTTATAATTTTATAAAACTTGGGCCATTTATATAAATAAATAAAAAAACCTTCAAAATGGTTATTTGTGTTGAAACAATAAGAGCTCATAGGCTCAATGACTACTAGTGCAAATCATTAACCCATCATGCACCAGGACTCACAGATCACCCCTTATAAATTGCATGACTAAATTAGTGTTACGATTAATCAAGATATGTAGTTTAGCGTAACTCTATTATAGTTTCGCATGATGGAGATTTGGAGATTTGGAATATGAGTTCTTTGTAATTCTTTGATACTCTATAGAATTAGAAGTAATTTTAGAGGATAATATAACTTTTTAACCTTTCAAAGAAAAAAAGAACACACACATATAACTCTGGTAAAGTACAACTAATTCTTACGGAATGCTCTCTCAATAAATAATAATGATACTTACCAATGCATTTCTCGAAAAAAAAAAAAAAAAAAAAAAAAACAAATTTGCTTTAAATTTGCTTTAATTGGAGTTTGGATTTTGTGCCTTAAGCATTTGACTTTGTTGTACATTTTAGAGAGGCAAAATAGAAGGCATTCACTCTAATGCTCCATCGCTTCTCATTTCCTCTTCCTTTTCTTTTCTCCTATAATGCTTCCAAAGACGCCATTGGTTAAGAAATTGGATAAATGCTAATTTTGCACTTATAATTTTTCGTTGTAAATGAAAACACTCATTTGTAATAGTTAGTCCAACATCAATCATCGTTCACTTATTATTTGGAATAATAACTTTAAATTCATCAGTACCATAAAAAGTGATAAAACGAAATTAAAAACAAAAAACAAAACATTTGTTTGAAATAGCTTTGCTTCATTAATATTCTTAGTACATATCATGATGATAAAGACATCCATTGAAATTCATGTTAGCGTCTAATCATGCTCAAATCAAAAGCATTTGAACAATGTAGCGTTACATTCCACCAATCAAATGAAACCAAACATTAAAACCACTTAAGAAAATGTTCTTTTCTTTTAACTTTTTTGATCTTAAGACGAAACTTTGTCGGCCAAGTGGGTCTCACTTAATCCGAGTTGTTGCACGCGAGAATGCAAGTAATTGTGTAAATGTTGAAATTGGGGAGATTGCATGGCAAAAGATGTTGCTGGCTTTGCACTCCATGACTCCAAATGTCAATTAAAAGTTGATTTACTTACTCTCCCTCCCCACCAAACGCACCCCGTTCAAGTATAACACAACTTTTAAATCAATTTAACACGCATTTTCAATGAAAAACATTATTACTTAAGACTAATTATAATTGATTTTGGGTTTCTTGTGTTCGGAAATGTTGTCTTTAATGACGATAAGGCATGTCACGCATTACATCATTAATTGATCATCATAGTTGAGGTTAATTAATTCTATTCTCTGTAATGTAATATAATGACTGTGTATAATTTTTATAAAAAAATTGTTTCTTAAGTGGTAAGTATTAGTTTCAACTTTACTCCAGAAGTATATATCCCAATTGTTCCAACCCCGTTCACTTCGCTGATTCGAGTTTGTAATTCGAGTTGAGATGTGATTTTATGTGAGAGCTTTTTACTGTAGCAAAAAAGTTAGATGTGACTGTTTCTGAGAACTTTTTACTGTAACAAAACTTAAATTCTAAACTTGAATCGGTGAAATGAACGGGGCCGCTGCGTGAATTCATTTCTTAATTTTAAGAGCTGACAAAGTGTAAACATAAATCGTGCATGGGAACCCCGAAGTTATGTATAATTCCGTCACTAGCTAGCTAGCTAGCTTTTTTATTCAATGGCCTTTGATTAGATTACTACTCCATAATATAATGCAGCTATTTTTTTTTTAATACGGTGTGGAGCTAAATGACTCCAATTTTAACGAACAGTATTAGAAATGAAATTATTGGGACTTGAATCCTGTTGGACACACGTACACACTCACACAGTTAATTATTTGAACTAGCCATAAATGACAATATTATATTTCAGAAAAAAAAAATGGCCTTTCATTAGAGTACTACTCCTTAATATAATGCAGCTATTTTTTTTAAAAAAATAAGGTGTGGAGCTAAATGACTCCAATTTTAATGAACAATTAGAAATGAAACTATTGGGATTTGAATCCTATTGGACACACGTACACACTCACACAACTAACTGTTTGAGCTAGCCTTAAATGGCAATATAATGTTTCTTGATATATATATATATATATATTGCAGCTACTTGATCACACCGTATATAAATTACCAAATATATGAGTAGAACAATATAATATATGTATGATTAGTGTAACCATCATTTAGGCCATGCACTAAAGGTGAAGTATGAGCTGGTGGCCATGGACTTTAGCCAGAAGAATAAGAGGGGAAAAAACTAGAAAAATCCTTATTTAATGAATTTTTTTTTTTTTTTGAACTCTTTGGTTTTTAAAACATATAGATAGGATAGGCAAGAAGATTAAATTGAAGTGTCATTGCAATGATTTCTTGGAAGTTTTTCTTTTTAGTAGAATGATTTCTTCGAAGTTAAAAACATATAGAATGAAGCTTTGTGTGTGGCTATTGATATCGATGTGGGGAAGATTGAACACTACATGTGAGCATTACCATTTCTAGCTTGTTTGGAGTAGAGTAGTGGGGCTGACGATATAGATGATGAAATGCTTAAGTAAGAGTGAGATATATGTTGAAGAAAATAATATATATATATATATATATATATATATATATAGAATATAATTAATGTAATGCATTATTGAATTGACTTAATGCATCCTGTAAGTATTTCACATATTCCTTTTTTCCGAACAATAAATGGGAAAATAAATAAAGAAAATTGAAATGAAAAGCGTCCATTGTCTAATGGATAGGACAGAGGTCTTCTAAACCTTTGGTATAGGTTCAAATCCTATTGGACGCAATTTATTTCCATATATATTTTATATTTCTATGTCTATGCCAAGAAAGATATTTTGAATGATTTGAATAAGAGATGAAATCCACTTCTTATATACACTTATTACTTAATAACTAATATATAGATTTAAAGTTATCAATTTATACTTGTTCTTGAAGGAGAAAACGCTCCATCTGTTCCTGAATAGCTTCTTTCAAAAGGGCTTCTGCTTCCTTAGTAAATGTCTTGGTAGAAGATATGATTTCTTGGAACTGAGGTTTATTCGTTTTTAAGTAAGTCCGTAACTCAACGAGAAATTTCCTTACCTGTCCAATTTCTAATGAATCAAGATAACCATTCGTTCCGGTATAAATAGTGATTATCTGTTCTTCCACCGCTGCTTTGAAGAAAATAACAACAATAATAATGGCACAAAGTTCGATTGTCTTGTTACTATATATTATGTTACCGATGTTATGTAGAAAAAAGGCTTTAATAGGAAAAACAATATTTTACTCTTGTTTTCCATTAAAAAAACAAAAGTAGAAGAAGAAGAAGAAGAACAATGCTAAAAATAAACAACGACTTACCTCAATACGTAAGATTATCTATAAAGAAAATGGTTGAACTTTCTCTCTTAACTAACCCTATACGATCATTAAAACTTCATCGTTCGTAATTAGGAAAGGAAATTAGTATAGTATGTTCACTATGTAGTTGAGGTTCTGAGTAAGGGAGCTTCTCTGATAGTATTAAAAAAAAAAAAAAAAACTACTGATAGTATTTTATTTTCAACCGTTAAATTTGTATAAAGAAATATATGTTATGTATACTTCTTTAATTTGATGTGATTTTAATATGATTTAAAGGTCAAAATTTGACACTATCAATAAGCCAGATCTAAAAAAAAAAACTCTATGAATATAATGTCTTTTCTACGTAACTTGATAAAAGGGGGAGATAATCCACCTTAAAAAAAAAAAAAAAAAAAAAAAAAACAACCCATGTCTTAAAGTGTCACACTCGGCCATTAGTACAAGCGTGTGACAACTACTGTAGGTATAATTTCAACCTCTTCCCCACATGAAGGATGAAGAGCACTTGTATATAAAGGTGGGTGCGTGGAGCTTTTGGGTCTACACTGGGACTGGGGGTTGTTGGGAGTGTTGTGTTGTGTGGCTAAAACAAAAAACAAAAACAAAAACAAAACTAGTGATACTCAATAGACTGGTAGTGATGGGAAGGCAACCTTGTTGTGACAAACTTGGTGTGAAGAAAGGGCCTTGGACAGCTGAGGAAGACAAGAAATTGGTCAATTTCATCCTCACTCACGGCCAATGCTGCTGGCGGGCCGTCCCCAAGCTCGCAGGTCTCCGCCGCTGCGGCAAGAGCTGCCGCCTCCGCTGGACTAATTACCTCCGCCCCGACTTGAAGCGAGGCCTCCTTAATGAAGCTGAAGAACAACTTGTTATTGACCTCCATGCCCATCTTGGCAACAGGTGATCATTTCACTCGTCTCTATCTTTTAATAAGACTAACTAGTGTATGATGGTATTAAACAATATGGTATTAAACGATATTGATTCCTCATACTATTGTTGTCTCATAGCATTATGCTTTTAATCAGTGTTTACTGGTCTGCATTGAATTCTAATTAATTGTGGACAACTTTAGGATTATTAATGTTTTTTTTTCTCTCTCTCTCTCATTTTCGTATTTTTGTTGTAGGTGGTCGAAAATTGCTGCGAAATTGCCGGGAAGAACAGACAATGAGATAAAGAATCACTGGAATACTCACATCAAGAAAAAGCTTATTAAGATGGGAATTGATCCAGTTACACATGAACCTCTCAACGGTCAAAAGGACAAATATAGTAGTACTAGTACTAGTACCCCACAAGATGATGATCAAAAGCCTTGTGAAGCTAATTCTTCTTCTAATCAGCAGGAGATGATCATAGCAGAAGAGAATCACGTTATGCTTGGCACTAATTCCAATGTCGACAACTCCAATGTAAGCATCCAAACTGATCAAAACTCCTCCTCCTCAACAGATGATCAATCACAGCCGTTGGATTTAATGAGTTACTTATTGTCAGAGAACTTTCTGGAAGATTCTTCATGGAATTTTCCAACTAGTGATTTTGGAGTCACCTCTTCCTCGGAGGAGAGCTCAACTTGGCTCTTGAGCAGTAAGGATTTAGGAGACGACGGAGAACTTTGGGCTTGGTTTCTTGAATGACTTGAAATTGGATTTCTGAAAATGACTTGGAAAAATCAACAAAATAATAATCTACCTTATGGAGAATAAGTGTGAATATAGAAATAACATTGAGGAATGTTTTAGCTTTTAAATTTGGAATACTCGTTAACATCTTGGCTTAGGTTTTCTAATCTGGGATATGGTTTATTTTGGCTTCTCTTTTGGATCTGAGAATGGTAAGGTAAAGGTTTACAAAAAAAAAAAAAAAATAAAATAAAATCATATTGGGTTAGGGGAAAAAAAAAAGAAAAAAGAAAAGAGTTTTGGGAGCACTAGATGGACTGTTGCATCCACCCCTACTACCTGGGTAAATTGGGATCTACCTAATCCGTTTCTTCCTGAACATTTCTACCATAAATATCATCATGTCTCTGATTTAAACTAACGGAGTTTCTTTGGTAGAACCAAGAAAAAATGAACTCGGTAGTTTCATATTTTTTAACCGTCAGATCTATATAAAAAATTATCTGTTTTACATACTCTTTTAATCTGATATGATCTTGATCAGATTCAACAGTCAGAAAACTAATTCTACCGGTAAAACGGCATACCAGAGAAACTCACGAAAATGTCTTGTAGACTTGAGTTTACGGAATTGAAACGAAAGTTTTGAGACTTAGATAAAATGTCAACTTGAATTTTCCTTCTTTCTTTTTTTTTGTGCCGCACGCAACTATTTGGTAATTTTCAGAGAATGACAGAGATAATTCTACTATTAGATAAACAATTGAGCGAGTGACCAGCCAACTATAATGAAACAATGAATCCTCTTTCCACCATTTACTACGAAAGAGAGACTAATAATCCAATTTATTTTATAAAAAAAATTATACACTTAGATTTATTAATAATTAATAAAAGCAGATGATTAGAAGACTCATAATTATTTCAATTATTAAATTATTCAAGTTGGATGATTAAAAATTCATACATTTAAATTATTCTCACATATGAATTGAAACTTTTTTGTTTTCCTTTTTACTTTTTTGAGTAACTAAAACTCATCTAACATATATCTAATTTATTAGAGAATGAAAGATCAATATACACGCAGAACATTTGGGCTTTTATCAACTAATTTCAATTAAATAAGATGATTTTCGTGAAGGCTGCATTGATATTTTTCTTACAAAAATGTATTAGGAATTTTTTTAAACAAAAACGAGCATATAAAATTTATAAAGATTCGTCTCAATGTGAAATTATGTCCTTCTTCAACCATTAATGCAAACATTTGCTATAATGAATAAGAAGTTTACAAAAGAATATCACACACCTAACAACTCACTATTTTTCTCTAACCTTTCTAATAATCCAAAATTGATCAAGAATTACTCTACATAAGGTAATAATCGTCAGAGCAATAATTAAACTCTACAGCTTAACAACACAAACTATATATGGAAGTTCTCAACTTTATGGAATTCTAAATAATCTGAGAGTTAAGAACGCATACAATAACGAGAACGTTTGGAAGAATTTTAGACAGCTAAGAGTAATTTATAAATTCTATTTAATTTAAAGTACGCTTTAAATGTATACACAAAAATTTAAATTTTGTATTGACGGTGACCATTTTCTTCCTTGAGTAATCAAATTCATTTAGTTTGGCAATATACACCGGATAATTTTAGTTTATTCACCTTCATGATGTTCTCAAAATGGGGAAAGAGAATGGAAACCCTGTGGATATATATTGTGGATCGTCACTTTGAAAGAGTTTCATAAAGTCGACGCAGACCCAATATTAGTAGCTACGTCATATTTGTCAATCTATGGTTGTGCATATAAATATATATATATATATATACACATATATTTATATATCCGAGCATATATGAAAGGAAATGTGATATTATATATACCTGCATAATTTAGCACCATGCTTATGCTACAATTATTGAACCACTTTCTTATTTGACACTTCAAAATAAACTAAGCCTAAAAGATTTTTCCGAAGATTTAAAACCATGAAAGAGATTATTCTATGAATACTAGTTGTCCTTTGTCCAAGTCTGGACATGTCCATATCCGCGTGCACCAAGAACTGTTTTAAAATGGATTTATAAAAATAGAGAGCTAAAATAAAACAATCACAGAGTACCAAAAGTATGCATTTTGGTGTGATATAATAATTCAGAAACACGAAATCATTACGTCATTTCAATAGCTACTTTTTTGCTAATGGTGGGCCAACAGCCAGACGTGAATTATGGTAATGAGAATTTTAGCCTAAAGTATTTTTTTCATATTATAATAATACGGTTTTGTATCAAATATTATATATGTGTCAAATTTTGTAGGTTTTCATATATATACATATATATATTGATATAATTTTAATCGGATTAACATTAAGATAGAAATACCTTACCATAACAAGCTTGTTATTAAAATTTTAAAAAAAAAACAAAAGCTCATTATTAATATTCTTCCACAATTTCTCAACATGTTGTTTTCTTGGTTGTGCTTAAAATAAAGTGTAATACTATTAATTTATTCTGCTTAAGCTATAATGTAAATCTTAATACCACATCGAAACAATTTCATCTCAATGCTACAAATTGCCAAGAAAATCTTACTGCATATTAACTTTGCAAAACCCAATAGCAGAAAGAGAGGACAAAAGACAGACATATAAAGGATGTACATGAAAAAACATATGGTTAAAATAAAATACGACATGTAATCTTTTGCAGCGAATCTAATTTTCAGAATGGAAAATGAAGCGAGACAAAGAAAGTAAAAGCCATTATACGGGCTTGAAAAATAACCGACCTTTGCATTTGGGAAAAATGCTAGCAACTGATCACATTATAACCCTCCAAGAAGATATCATGTGGCATTTTTCTTTTTTTTTTTAAATGATCAAATCAATAATAGAAGAAGTAAATCATGGAGCATTCTTGCTACAAATCAATGTGTCAGAAACAATAATAGAGTTGATAGTAATGTACGACAAGAAACCGATGCGTCGTTTACTCTTGAATAGCTAACGACACGTCACTTTTTCTTGAATAATAAACGACATGTTTATATTTAGAGACACGACAAAAACAAGTGAATGACATGTCGTTTTAATTCATGACAGCAAAAGCGGGAAGTTGATTTAAAAAACGGAATATCATATATTCTATGGCAGTAGAACGACATGTCACTTTAAGTTTGAAACCAACGACATGTCCTTTTTTATAGAGAGAAACAACCGATTGAGGATAATGGCTTAGTTTAGTAGTGCTGTAGATTTTAGAAAAATTATTTTTAATTGTGCTGAAGGAAACAGAAACAGTTAAGTGTTTAATAAATTATAATTATAGTAGCTGTGCTCGTTCTAAAATCAGTGTAATAACATTTAATAAATTATGAGGTTTAATTGCGATGGATAGTTAAAAATTATGACTATATTATATTATACTATAATATATAATATATATAGTTACAATATAATATATATCTATTATTATATTTAATATAATACAAAAAAACTATTATTATATAATTATGATATATAATATAATAATATTATTAAAATAATAATTAAAATAATTTAAAATAACGATTATATTATATT